ACCAACCCCCTGATCTCCTTGGTATGCTAGAAACTGGCTTAGATCTAAATGTATTGAGATATTCTGCTATGACTTTCGTTGAGGTAGGGCTGTCAAAACACGTGACATCTGAGCTCCAAGCGACAGGAGAAGGCAGAGAAAAAGGCTGCAGGTCAAACCATAGCGGTGGGTGTCATCATAAACTCGAGAAGGTGTCTGGTTATAGAACGCCATGTGTCTAAATTATGGGGGCACGCCAACTCACAGATGTGATGTTCGCCGTCAACCCAGTTCAATCACTATTACTATTAGTGCAGATTCGTTTTTTATTTCTATTTTTTTCTCTATTGAGTTACACTACCCGGATCTAGAGTAAGTAAGATGTAAAGATTTCGGACGTCTCGTGTTCAAGTTTCGAACGTTGGAGATTCTTTGGCGGTTCTAAAACAGAAAACAGGAAGCCCTTCGGCATCAGGGCCAAATGCAAAAGTTCCTTCCCTATAACTGAAGCCGCTCTAATCGGCAGAAATATTAAGTGCATCTTCGAAAACGACACGTAGCTGGATGTCGTGCAAGAGATGGTTCTGCATTCTGCGCTCTTCGAAAACAAAACGTAGATCTACGCCAATGTACAGACAGTCTCCGCTCTGTGAGGTGAAGGTCTCGAAGTCAGTTGCTCCCTCTATAGATCTACCAGGCGTACGAGAAAGGCAATGCTCGCTCGTAATAAAATATGACCTTCTGCGGTTGCAAGCGCCGTACAACGCTTCCCATACTGAGAAGGCCGATGAGTCATCACCGTGAACAGAGCGTTATATAACCTAAGGAAAACAGCTAAAAGAACAGATGTACTTAGGCTAACGTCGTCGAATACAGTATCGAATAAAGTATCGAATGCAGCTAGACGAGATAGGTTGTATTACTTCGTCTCAGTAATTTGCTCTCTTTCGAACCACCTTGGGGCTTGGTTTTGCTATTTCGTTTGATCTTTTTCGGCTGGAATGGGATTTGAACTACGGCCATCCTCTTCACTGTTCAACATGATGCCAACTGCGTTAACTCTAACGCAGCGCTAGGTGACTGCAAGAAGACAGTGACCATTGGTGAACTCTAACACATAGACTGCTATAGACGTTATGAGAGACGAAAGTATTCATCATGGTGCAGAGGGAAATCTCTGAGAAACTAACTCTCGTCCAAAAGAACCTCTTGTACAATAAAAAACAGCAACAACAATAACAACAAAAACAACTACAACAACAACAACAATAATATGTAATATGTCCCGCCCTGGAGAACCTGAACAGATACAGACCGAGCGACAGATGAGGACAGCGACAGAAACTCTAGAGACACCTCCTCGTCCATGCATCCCTGCTAAAGGAACACAGAATCTGTCCTCTGCCTACAGCCATACGGAGCAGACACAAGAACTAGAAGAAAATGTTTCACAAGGAGAATCTGTCGTTAAATACTACCAGCGCAGTCACAAGCCAATCAGCGCAATCACAAACCAATTGATACTCTTTTTTTCATTCAACTTCGTTTACTTTTTTTTATTAACCCTCTGTTGCCGTTAAGAGTCGAGGGAAGTTTTCTCTGGTTGGCCAACTCGGCAGCTCTTTCAATTGAGAAGTTACAGTTTCTCAGGGTTCCCTTGACTCCCCCAATTCAACTTTTCGTGGCCTTCCTCTTCCTTTATGGCCTGAGTACATGTACTTTGTGTTATAGGCTCTCGAGGAATTTCATTTATCACTCTAACATAATCTGTGTCTTGCCAAAGATAGTACAGCCTACGGTAAGATGTCGCAGTGGCCCAATTTTGTGAGGCACGTGGACTCCTAGCGCCACTAGCGGCGAGCGTGCGACAGTATGTAAACAAACACGGCGAGAGACTCGCAACGCTCTATGCTGTCTGCATTACGGGCCAGTTTTGTTCAGCGATCGGCCGTTCTAATTCCAGAGGAAAAAC